TAGTAATGGTAGCTGGCTGGTTTATGTGATTTTACAACAGAGTAGTTGTAGTAGTATTAGTGTGTGCAGGTGGTTGTGGATAGTAGTTTCCTATTTGCACAGTGCATCTTCTTTAGCCATCATATCACAAAAATTGTTTTCATAAACTGTGGATTTCTGTTCTTGACAAGGATTGATGGGCTAACTGTTACCATCATGGTGTGCTGCATTATTTATACACAGCAGCTGAGTTCCTTTTTTCAGGTTGTCCTTTGCTGTCAAGTGAAGTGCTGTCAAGCGCTGTCAGGTACTGCACTCTTCAGTCAAAAATCACCTAACATTTTGTGGGGTTTTATAAGATCAAAAAAGTATGCTATACAGAAGTATAAAGTTTGACGAAGAGTGGTTTTACGATTTTTTCCCTCCTCCCCACCATTACCTGCCTGTGGAAAAAAAGAATAGTTATACATTCAGTAGTTTGTTGAAAAGGATGTGGCATAGGAGTAGTTATGTGAAGGTACGTCATGCAGCAGGACGGACGTACAGAAAAGTTCATCTCCAAGTGCTTTTAATAAAAGTTCAAGTTCACTGATTGAATTATTCACCATGGACAAAAGCTGTCATAGCCTTGAAAAAAAGCCTAATTGTTTCTAGAAAATCAATATCTCACCATTTTAGTTGAATTTTTGTATGTATTTTTTTCTGAGTTTGGAGAAGTACATGGGGTTCTTTCTTAATTAGATTTTGAGTATGCATGCATCTTCAGTGATGGGCAATGCGCTCAAATGGTTATTTTCCTTAAGAATGTTCTGAAGAAAATAAAGACATGAGGAAAAACAAAAATAAAAAAATCACCCAAATGCAGTATTCTCTAATCATGTAAATCTTTTGTCTGCTCCTCAATACAGTATGGACTGAGATAATGTGGGTTACATTTCTACCTTAACTCTTCCATGTATGATGTCATGCAAAAAGGAGGAAATACGTATGCATGTATATATACATATATACTTTATATATATATGTAAAATAAGATATATATATATATGTAGATAGGTAGATAGATAGTTACAGATATAGATATAGATAAAACATCAAAATATGAGGTAAATGCAAAGAGATCATGAGTTCTTGCAATTGGGGGGGACCAGCATGTGAGCACACCCTTTGCTGATTCTATTTTACAGATTCTTGCACCAGACCTCAGTAACTTGATACAATGAGATTTTGCTGTCCGAGATTTTGCTGTCCAAGATTTTCCCAAGAATGAAGTAAAAGCAGCAATATTTGTAGTACATGTTTTATATGCAGGCTTGAGATATACTTTAATGTTTGAGTAGCCACATAATGAAAAGTGCAGGGTTAGTCAGAATAGTAAAGAAAACCATGAATTACTGGTTTTGACACTTGCATTCTTACTGGACCCCTTTAAGAACATTTTAATAAAATTACAATATTAATTGTCTTTTGGTGTTGTTTTTTTTTAATAAAGGAGTTCCTCTTACAGTGTTTGTTTAATTTATAGAAATTTCTCAAATTGCACAGTCTGTTGCACAAACAGCCTATCACAAACTACCACTACTGAAAGTCTGCAGCACAGAGCACCATTCTGTAAGAGTTACTGTAAAGGCTGTAGTTCTTTCTTTGTGTTTATTTTACTTTTCCATTCACCATGACTCTAAGCTTAAATTCTAAAACTACTGTTGTGTTTAAAAGTTGTGTCATAAACAGCACTGTGTTTTAATGGTAGCAAATCCCTTAATCAGTTGTGTTAAGACAAAACACACACATCAAACTCACCAGAGTGTGTAACAAATTAGACTTCAATATTTCAACATGAATGGCTTCTTTAGAGGAACAAAATGTAAATTGAGGGAAATATTGTTGATTCAAAGGTGATTTTTTTTTCTCTTGTGCACAATTTCACAGACACTAAGCTGTAAATAAGGGTGATAATATTTTAAGTGAGTTTTACTAACGTAAGTATGCAGATTTGCAGAGCCTGATATCTAGTTGTAAGTAGAATTATTGCTTGCTTATGTCTGTGCAGTTGCTTATATCTCTGACTGCATCATGTGTGCCATCATATTATGGTATTATTTTAATTATTGTTCAAGTTCACAGTATGGAGTTTTCCTCTTTAACCCTCTTTATCATCACATGAACGAAGCAGGCTAGGGGTTTCTTTAGTTTGTTGGTTTTTTGGTTGGTTGGTTTCGGTTGGTGGTTTTTTTGGGGTTTTTTTGGTTTTTTTTGTTTGGTTTTGGGTTTTAGTTTGGTTTTTTTTGTTTGTTTGTTTGGTTTGGTTTGGTTATATTAAATATATACACCAGTGACTGGCGTAGAATTTGGGCCATGGTGGTGGGTCAAAATAGCACTTAGTGCAGCTATTTCCTGAACATGGAAATAAATGACTACTGCTAGAGGACAGCATCTGCTTTATTAGTCACAAACTGTAGGTCAGGTCACGTTAATTCGGACTGAAAAAGCCAACACGAATTCTCAGACAAATGAAAACCACACAGTTTAGTTATAGTAGGAGATTTCAGTTTCTGGAAACAAAATGGTAAACTGGGGTTGGTTCTGCTTGTCAGTCAATACAAAACTTACAAATCAGTATTTTGCCTTTTTACTTAGCTTTTTCTTTCTTCTATTCCACAATTGAAATAAGAACACTGAATCAGGAAACATGTAGCAAAAAACTCCCCTCTCATTTTAATAATACCCGTATGGATTTGCATAAGTGTTCCTGCTCCAGATGCTATGTAATTTGTAAATTTAATGTAAAGTATAGGAATACAGTTGTCAGAGCATTCAGTTAATGGTAGTTGTTCTTCTACAACCAAATGCCTAAGACCCGTGAGGTAAAAAAATCAAGCATCATTTGCTACCCCAAAAAGGCAACAAGCACTGAAAATGAGAAGTCTTGACTTACTTAGATTCAATTACGAAGAGAGATAATGTCTAGTTATTAGACAGATAATGTCTTATGTTGTTGATTCTTTTCAAGTAGCTCAGCCTCTTTGGACAATCTTCAAGACCAAACTGTTTAAACGAAGTATGTAGACACATGACAATTCTTTGTGTTAAATAAAATTAAATAAAAATAACCCAGCAAACTAACCCACAACTAAAGTTTTTTGCAACTGGTGTGCGGAATTCATAAAGGCAGCTTTGTACATCAGTTAAATTTCTTAAGTGATTGTTAGATTGGAATTATCACACCAGGCACTAATCTGAAGTCTGTACACCAGAAAGGCATTTAAAACAATTTGAGGTTCATTACGAATACTGTAGTCAAACAGGTGTTATAATGTCTGACATAAACAAGTGGATATCTGTAACCTTTTACAACTACATGGCAAATGGCTGGCAACTTTTCAATTTAAAAATTACACACACTCAAAAAAAGGTATTTATTTTTTAATATTTACCTACCTGCAGATGTTACTTTAAGTTACATTTGCAAAAATTTTGCAAAACAAAACTGTAATATACAAACTTTCAGTGTTTCTAAAACCAATACTAAGCAATAGAGAGCACAGAGCCATCTTACAAGATGAAGCTTGAGATAAATAAAAATGTAGAGAAATATGTATTTAATTAGCTGAGGAAAAAAAATATTAAATTGAAATTAACCAAAGCCTAGGACATTCTTTAGGATTGCTTCCAGTTATTCTGTTGGGGACATGATGCAATCCTGTATTTCTTTGTATTTATAGAACTGTGATAGGGTGAGGTTCTTTAAGGGTGTTAAAAACTGAGGAATTGCAAGAACTGAACAGACACTCTTCTATTTGGTATCTCCTCCTGAAGGCTGTTTCAAATAATAGCGGATAGGAAGTCACAATAATGTGTAGTACGTGCTAGTAATGCTCAGACATGTTCAATTTTTGACTATATGAAGCAGCCCTCTGGTGCATCTTTCATAGTTGCCTCTTTCTGCTGTTGATTACCTTGACACTAATTAACTGAATAGGGTGAAATCAGTGAAAAGCAATTGAAAGATGAGCAAAATCTGCTTGTTTAGGCAGGCTGATGTGACCCACTGTACCAGTGCTTGCCCTGTGTTGCAGGGAGTTTTGAAGCATAGCTAGTTCATAGCATAGTTTTGAAGTGAAGCATGGCTCTGTTTCTAACTATTAGTTGTGATTCTGCAATCAAAATGAGTTATGGGAGACTTTAATATACTTCCTTGGGACATGAAGGAGACTGTCAGGGAGCACTGGAGGGACTGTGACCACTCAAGTCCTTCAGTCTCCATCCCTGCCATGGAGTTGGTGGGTCACAAGTCATAGTGGAAGCTTCCCTGGGGCACTGTGTGAACATACAGCAGCTCTGGTTAAATGGTTCCAGATCAAATATCGTTGACTGGATTAAAATAAAATTGCTCAAGAGACTTTAGTGGCTTTACTCTGTACTGTCAGACTTCATCCTGGGATCACACATATTTGGTCTTTGTGTGAATTACATAAAGCCAACATAGAAGCACACTGCTGGCCTGAATCCATGCTCTGTGTTCATCAGAAATATGGCTGCATGCCAATGCCTGGTCTGGATCATATCTGTGCCATTGAGTGATTTAAGTGTGTAAGTCTGGAGTGCATGATGATGTAACCACAGCCACAGTTGTCTGTTTACAAGCTAGGTGATAAGTCAATAGCCTGAACTGAAACCACCATTCAGTTTTATCAAATCCTGGGGAAATTCTTTCCCAAGTATATATCCTGAATTATTTCAAATAAGAGAAAACAAAAAATTATTTTTTGTTAAATTTTACTTTTCAAGTAAATAGCTGTTGGTGTATCTGAGAGTTTCACATTTTATGAAGTAAAAGTCTAGGGGAAGATGATTACACAGAGGTGCGCTGTTTAAATACAAAATGGAATTAGTCAAAAGGTATTCAAAAGACATACAGCTAGTCGTTCCTTTCTGTTCTTGGTTATCAGCCATTTGCCATGCTTGTAGCTTGTGCATAACTTTTTGAGAGTTTTGTAAAGAAATCTCTTTTCTTTCTTTCACTCCACAGGGGATGCTTGTGACTCCAACCCATGCAAAAATGGTGGCATCTGTCTGTCAGGGCTGAATGATGACTTCTACTCATGCGAGTGTCCTGAAGGCTTTTCAGACCCCAATTGTTCTAATGTTGTGGAGGTTGGTAAGTGCAAACTTCAAATGCTGAAATAATTGTTTAAGTATCCTGATAGTCTGTAGATGGCCAACCAGTGACCATGTTTACAACGTTCCGTGTAGTGCTGTGGTCATTGCATTGTTCATTATTGGTTTCTTAACCTTATCTCTCTGTCACAGTTATCTGTGTCATAATTAACAGTTAAAACAGTATCTGACAAGTGTGCCTGCAGAACAGAATCACACAGAAGAGTTCAGTGCTGTACTTCACAAAGAGAAAAAAAGATCATAGTAGTGACTTAAAATTACCAACATTTCTCAAAGATCAGTGTAATCGTATATTTCTATATATCTTTCAGCTGATCAGTGACCATTTAAACCTTGGTTTCTGATAGTTGTATCCTGAGGTTCAGTCTAAAGAGTAATTACTTAAACAAGTGAAATTACAGAAACAGTATAGGAGAAACCAGAATAACACATAGTAGTCACTTCTTTGAATTTTAAAACAAATACCCAGATGGAGGTTGCAATTAATCATTATATGAGTACACAGAGTGCAAGTCAAATGTACTGAAGTTTTGTGACGTGCATTTGGCTCAGGGTAAACGTAAATATAAGTGGCAGATTCAAAAGTTTAGGTCAGATCAAGCCTCGATTTTAGGAAAACTTAAGGATAAAATCAAAGTGCAAAGGAAAAGCTGATAGCTCATTGAGTCACAGGCCATCCCACTGTTTTTGATGGAGCAGGAGAGCTACAAGTTGCCCAAGCTCTTACATTATCCCGAAGAAGGTATAAATGTATGCATGGTAAAGCAAAACAATAAATAGACATTACTGCTGAAATAGATACATTTTCTCTCTCTTCCTTGGAATTGTGGGAGTTAGAATAGGAAGGGAAAAGATACAGAAAAGCACTGACTTGGGGAAGAGATGGCAGTGCCTTTTATTCTGTTTGATCAGGAAAATACACAAAAGTGGAGGTTCTGTGACAGTATCTCTTATCTGAAGGCTCTGCCTGCATTTCTTCTGCTGACAGCCGAAGTACTTGAAAGCACTATAACCCTCCACGTATTTCATATCGTACATCCGTGTCTGTGATTCATCAGCCTGGGTTACACTGAAAACCTTCAGCTTGTGACAGCTGAGTAGTGCTCACATGTTTTGTTTCTGCTGACTGTACTGCAAGGACACCAAACTCAGGCAGAGGGGCAACACCAGTGGCCTTGCTGCTGCAGATGTCTCATTGAAACTGTCACAGCCTAAATCTGCATGCTTTTCAGGTTTTGATAAATAAATAAAGGCTACACAGGCACAACCTGAAAATGCTGTTCTGAAGGCTAAGTCTATTTCTCTGTCATGTGATAAGATGAGCAGAACTTAGTCCAGGAACCTAAGGTTGGTTTGTTTTCCATTTTTCCTTCCTGAAGATGATGCTGACGTTATTCTGGGAGTGAATGCTAAGTCTCCACAATGCAGTTTTAAGGGAATTTAGATTTAATTTTATTTTGCTGATTATAACTTTAATGCAGACAAATGAACTATTTCCTGTGCCAGAGTGCCCAACAACGTGACAGACACCAACTGTCTTTGTGCTGTCATTGTTTCCTGGCTGTAAAATGTCATAGCAGCTGGTTATTACTTAACATGGGAGTTGCCCAAGAAACTGCTTGTTCCCTTGGTGCAGCCACCCAAGAAGCTGGAAGACTGCCTCAGGATCCTGTTTTCCATCCCTTTCTCTACTGTGTTTATGCATGGTTGAAGGGTCTGAATTACCCTACGGCTATATGCTACCCTTAAATGGAATAAACTTTATGCGCATTTCACATTCATTAGTGCCTCTGAAGTAGTCCAGGTGCTGGTGAGACTTGCTGACATTGCTGCTAAGCTGTTTGGCATGAATATTATACAATTAATTGCAATTATAATTGAATGTTATATTATTATTTAATTCTGTATTATGTTAGCTTTGTTATTCAGTGTCTCTGTCCTGGACTTCTTGGTTCTATATAGCTTTGAAGAGCTAAGTGTTAAAAATAGATCTGTCACCACTTTTTTCTTTTTTTTGAAAACTTTATTTTTAATTGTGTTTAAAAACATGTAAACCACAACTATTTTATTTTTAAAATTGCTCGTAGATTGTTAGTGCCCTTAAGAGAGTTCCTTGTATTACATAATTTTTGTATGTATGCCATTATCTTTGCCAAATATTAAAGTAGAGATCTGTATGTTATTTCTGACTCTTCTTAGGAAATTAAGAGTTGCAGAACTTTTTAAACTTTTAAAATATACCAATCATTGAGAATTATTGCTAAGGTTCAGAAGTTAATAACTCTTCTGTTTTGCTAGAAATGGGATGGTAGCTTTACAGACTTGCTTTCTTGTTCCTTTAGTTTCTTGGCTAATGTAGAGTACTTTGAAGTTTTTGAAGAGACCAAACAATCTAATTTCTCGTAAAATTTAGGCTTAAGAAATAATGTTCTTAAAGCAATGCTCCTGTTTGTGTTCCTGTTTTATAGAATATGGTGTGCTCCTGGATTTTTATGCAGAAGGATGTGACTCAACAGTATGGAAACAGCTCACTAAAATAAAAATGCCAGAAGGAAGCTGATTCTGTAGCTGAAAAGGCAAATTGGTCTTTAATGAGATGATAATTCTGGCGTCCTAGGAGATTCAGATTAGAAGATTTTGGACTTCTTAGCCAAAAACAATCAGGTGGAAAACCTGGTGGTGTTCAGGTTAATGCAAGTTCTAAATGCATTGCAGTTCCACAGTAAAATAAAGAAAAATTAAAAGACAAATATTGAAACCCAGAGACAGATGGACATTACTGTTGTTTCTTTTCCCCTCTAAGTTATTTTCCAGATGTTTTTTCAAAACTATTTGTATAATTGCTTAAGCAGAGCAAAATTCATCATGATTGGAATTACCTTTTTCTCCCCTGTATGTTTACTTATATTTAAAATAATTTGTTAGGGTTGGGTTTTTTGATACTATAAAGAGATGCAGTAGTTTATAAAGCATTTTCTTTTCTCCAGTAATAAATGTTCTTATGCTCAAATGCGGAAGAGTGCTCAAATGTTTCTCTGAATGGATTTAATCTTTTTAACTGGGAAAAGTTGCTGTTAGTAGCTCAGAAGTTTTTCACTCTGTAACTCTTTGTGATCTGATGCCTTTGTATGTTCATTTTCTTTTTATATAAAATCTCTGTTAAGATATTTACTTAAGGGTGTAAGATCTGATCTTTGCTGTTCAGCATTCCATTCCAGATGGAAAATTCTCTGAAGTGTTAAAAACAGTGTGGAATAATGTATCTGCTCCACTCTCTTACCATTTTCTCTGTGCAATTCCAGAATACTAGATGAACTTGTTAAGATTTTAAACTGGAATATATACAGCTAGCATTGTGTGGAGCAAATATACTTTGTTCTTAAGCATGTCAGAGGCTGAGAACTGTTGGTAGAAGTGGGCACAACTCTTAATGCAGAAGAAATATGCTGGTATACACCACGTGAGATTTTGGTGTTAATTTCTTCAGCACCGACAGAATAAAATTTTACCTGGGTGAGGGGAATAACTGTGTGTTTTAGCTCTTAATTGTTTTGGTTTGTTGTTGGTTTGGGTTCTGTTTTTTATTTGTTGGTGGGTTTTGCAATATAGATGTAATTACAGGATTTTCTAATAAGTTTATGGTTGAAAGTTCTTCCTATTAGGCCACTGAATAAATGCAGGTTATATTACAAGGAGTAAAGAAAACAGAGGAATTACCCAAATCAAAATATCAAGCACCAAAGTTCATTATTGAACTTCCATGAAAATTACCAGTGAAAATAAGAGGAAGAAAAATATCCTTTCAGTTCTCAAAGAAAGACTCCCATTTGATAACCCTTAGGTCTAAGTTAATGAGATGTTGGGGTAATCTGGATAATGAATGAACTGAAATGTTGCTGCTATATCCCAGCTCCCAGCTATGGAGTTATCTGAAGGGTGTCTCACCATCCTTACCTTACGTCAGGTTAAGGTCAGCTTTTTGTTTGGATCTGTTGCTATTTAGCTGGACATGCCTCAGCTGCACCAGCTCATGTCAGCTGTTAATGAGGCTGAAGAACACTGACTGGTTCCTCTCCTCTTCCTTCATTTACCTGGTGAATTATCTGGGATGGTTGTTCTGGGGGGTGAAAAGACACTATGCTCATCTTTACCTGCACCACATCTGTTGGATCTTGGCACAACATGGGGATAATTACTGCCATTTCACTGTAGCACTGGATGTTACTGAGGAGGGGTTTCACACTTCAGCTATTTAATGGCAAGACAAGTTGGGCATCACTTTCCTTTTCAATTTGACCCCAGAATGGATTATAAGAACTTAAGTGAAATGCTGACTGTATGAAGCTGCGAGTTTTTCGTGTTATGTCACAGGTGTACAAGTTTCTCAATTTGGTGATGCTGCAAGATGATTTAGTAATAACTAAGTCACATTTATGATATAATATTAATGATCAAAATGATTAGGGCATGAGATTCCTTGCTAAATTACAGTTGCAGAATTAGTATTTCGGATGTATTACTCAGCTGAACACCTGCTTGAGAATTGCCATTGTACCATGAGTTAGGACAGTCAATTTATTATTTCCTATGTTAAAAAAAAAAAAAAAAGATATTAATATTTTCATCTAGTCCTCTCTGTAATACTAGAATATTAATTTGAGGTACAAACTCTCCTGTCATCCATCCAATCTTCATTTTGAATTACACTCTGGGCTGATTCCACTGTAAACCGGGCAGTTCTGAAGTCTAGGAAAGCATGTACGAGGGCTTGAGTTGGACATGATCTTGATTTTTTTTGTCTCTGAAACTAGAAAGGGCAGTTAGAATTCAAGTTGCATGATTTGGCGGAGCCAGACTTCAGTTTCCTGGGTATTTATGATGTTCAGCTTCTGCATCTCTTCATGAGTAACTAGTGCAAATATGCATAGTTCCACTCTTCTGATCTATGCTTTTGACAAATATCTAATTCAAATATGCATG